TGAGAAAGTGCTGAACAAACTTCTATTTTTAGGATGAGAAACAGAATGACTTTGAACTCCTTCTAACCAGCTCCACATTCCAATGAACAGAGCCTTGCCTGTTTCTAATGAAATGATTATGACACCTTGAGACTATATTGTATTTTCAGACTGAAGAAAGTACTCATGTAGAATCACTGAAATATCTTGCATATGTACAGCATATCTCTAATTACAGTTTAGTGACAAGAATGTTGGGACATATAAGAAATGTTTTACTGGTTCCCAAGATGGGATATATGACATGCCTTTTGGCAACAGTGGGGCTTATCACGAACTGGTGGACTCTAGGAGTTCTGCATTACTATTCTGTTTAAAAATAAACATGCCCAGCATCTAATGGAGTGGCAGTTCCTGCCAGCAAAATTCTTTTCTCGTCAATTTGTCATTTCACAAGCAGAGTTTGAACTGTACAGTTTTAAGTAGATGCCACCACACTGATGTATAATGTATTGTACCTTCTTGTTCTTTGCTGTGACACTACGTGGAGCTACCACTTGCTTGCACTGTCTCAACACTGGAGCCACCACTAGCTTATACTAACATAACATGTGCAAAAATGGGGAAGACAGCCTGAAAAAAGGTATACAAGTCAGAGAGGATGAAGGGAGCAGGAAACAACAAAAAGGTACTAAGTAATGCAGAAAAGAAAAATTAAGACTGGATACCATCAACTGGTGGCAAATGAGTGAGAAATCCCAGCAGATTACATGTAATGCTATACTGCTGTTGAAGTGTTCTTTCTCATATCAGTAGAAAAAAAAAACTTTCATGAGATCTCCTACAAAGGTGATCTCATATGTAGTAGCAGTATCATATCAGAATATTATAGTAGGGCCCCACTTATACAGCAGGTTAGGTTCCAGGCTACTGCCGGAAAGAAGAACGCCATTTTTTCCACTTATAAATACACAAAAATGCCAGATAACAAGTTTACACTAACATATATTACATTAGTAATATAACTAGGCATTTAAAAACAATAAAACGTAAAATACACACACAGTACACCCATTACTTTCCTTAAAATATTTGTAGTCTTAATGTAGGGTGAGAGGTGAGTTTAATTTGTAGGAAGTCAGGTTTGGGAGGTATGGTAGGCAGCCAGGTCAGCCCACCCAATGTAATATACTACGATATTTAATTAAAGCTCCCCAGAGCGATAAAATACATATACAGTACATTCATTAATTACCTAAAAATATTTGTAATCTTAACCCTTTGACTGTCGCGGCCGTATATATACGTCTTACGAGGTACCGTGTTTGACGTATATATACTCATAAATTCTAGCGGCTTCAAATCAAGCAGGAGAAAGCTGGTAGGCTCACATGTGAGAGAATGGGTCTGTGTGGTCAGTGTGCACCATATAAAAAAAATCCTGGAGCACGCACTGCATAATGAGAAAAAAAAAACTGACCGTTTTTTTTAATTAAAATGCCGACTTTGTGGTCTATTTTCGTATAGTATTTATGGTTGTATTCTCGTTTTCTTGGTCTCATTTGATAGAATGAAAAACATATTATAGAAATAGAGATGATTTTCATTGATTTTACTATAAAAAGAACCTAGAAATGGAGCTCAAAGTAGGGGAAATGTTTGATTTTTGCCAATGTTCAAAAGTAAAAAAAATGTGCCTTTTGCCCAATAAATGTCCAACTAGCCTTTTTTTAATATGCAGATGAAGGGTTGATGTTTTTTTTTTTTTCCCCAATTTTATCCAGTATTGCAGAAAGTTTGCATTTTTAGTAGTCTTTTTATTTTTTTTTTGGGAATAAAAATTAAAAAATAAAAAGAAAGAGCAATATCAGAGGGGCCTGAAGACGGGGATGATGAGCAAAGAAAATTTTAAATTTTAGACCCGGGAAATTTGTTTTGCTTTGTTCATTCGGGGCCCTTAAATTTTGAAAATTGTCATTTTTTAGTTTTCGTAAAATTTGGGCCCAAAATTTGAAAATTTCGGCCCCTTTTATTAGGTATTTTTAAAAATTGGAAAAATGGGCATTTTCCTTGAAAACTCAACGATAAAAAAAAAAAGGGAAAGTTCTAAAAAAATTAGCTTTAAATTTTTGGGCGACGGGAAAACCAATGGCATTAGCCGAAAAAAGGGTCAAAGGGGGCGAAATCGCCATTTGAAAACAGCGCGAGGTCGAAACCCTTCCCCCGAGAGCATAATTCCGTCGGGTTTTCCATCAAATTTCTTTTTTTTTGGTTGCCCTTTAAAACCGGGGGAAAAAGTTCTCTACCCTTTCATAAAAAAAAAAATTTTTTTTTTTTTTTAAAATTTTTTGGGGACACCAGGAGACCCTTTCGGGTTTGGGGGGTTGCGACAGTTTAAAAGGGTTAAAGTAGGGCGAAAGGGTGAGTTTTATTTGTAGGGAAGTCAGGTTTGGGGAGTAGGGGGGGCCAGGGAAAGGGCCCGCCCACCCCCCCCCAATTTAAAGTTTAAAAAAAAACCAGACGAAAAAGTTTTGGTTTTCGTCACTTTTACATTGTGTACAAGTTGTTTTCCCCATTGATTTCAGTGGGAATTTAAAAAAAGGAAAAAAACTCTCCCTTCTCATTGGGAAAAATTTTTTTTGGGGAAATGACGTCCTGAGGGGAAGGGAAATGAAAGGAAAAAATTTTCTTTAAATTTCCCCCCGTTTAAAATTTTAGTGACCCCATTTTCTCCCGCTGTTGGACTTTCAAGTTGCCTGGTACCACAAAAACCGTACAAGGTTTTTAAACCTTTTGGGTTTCCGGGAAAAGGGGCCTGGCTACCAAAGTCCCACCAAGGGTTTCCTGGTTAACCCCAAGTTGGGCCCGGCTATTTACAAGTCCTACGAGTTGCCTGGCTACCCTAAGTTGAAATGGTACCAAAAAAGTCCTACAAGTCGCCTTGGGTACCAAATCTATATTTTTGTTTTAAATTTTTTTACTTTGGGGTGTATTTTTGATGGATTAAGCAAAAAGGTTTTTTTTTAACGTTTTATTTGATATTTAATGTTCTCAGAGTGATTGTTATTTCATTATAATGTGGGACGCCCTTAGACAAAGGTTTTTTGTTCCCTTTGGGGTTTTAAAATATTTATAGATGGGGGTTTTAAGAGAAGTAAATGCGAGGGTCTTGGCAAGAGGCGTGGAGTTAAAAGATAAAGAATCACACATAAAGTGGGAGTTTCACAGTTGCTCTTTGCTGATGACACTGTGCTCTTGGGAGATTCTGAAGAGAAATTGCAGAGATTGGTGGATGAATTTGGTAGGGTATGCAAAAGAAGAAAATTAAAAGTGAATACAGGAAAGAGTAAGGTTATGAGGATAACAAAAAGATTAGGTGATGAAAGATTGGATATCAGATTGGAGGGAGAGAGTATGGAGGAGGTGAATGTATTCAGATATTTGGGAGTGGACGTGTCAGCGGATGGGTCTATGAAAGATGAGGTGAATCATAGAATTGATGAGGGGAAAAGGTGTGAGTGGTGCACTTAGGAGTCTGTGGAGACAAAGAACTTTGTCCTTGGAGGCAAAGAGGGGAATGTATGAGAGTATAGTTTTACCAACGCTCTTATATGGGTGTGAAGCATGGGTGATGAATGTTGCAGCGAGGAGAAGGCTGGAGGCAGTGGAGATGTCATGTCTGAAGGCAATGTGTGGTGTGAATATAATTCAGAGAATTCGTAGTTTGGAAGTTAGGAGGAGGTGCGGGATTACCAAAACTGTTGTCCAGAGGGCTGAGGAAGGGTTGTTGAGGTGGTTCGGACATGTAGAGAGAATGGAGAGAAACAGAATGACTTCAAGAGTGTATCAGTCTGTAGTGGAAGGAAGGCGGGGTAGGGGTCGGCCTAGGAATGGTTGGAGGGAGGGGGTAAAGGAGGTTTTGTGTGCGAGGAGCTTGGACTTCCAGAAGGCATGCGCGAGTGTGTTTGATAGGAGTGAATGGAGACAAATGGTTCTTAATACTTGACGTGCTGTTGGAGTGTGAGCAAAGTAACATTTATGAAGGGGTTCAGGGAAACCGGCAGGCCGGACTTGAGTCCTGGAGATGGGAAGTACAGTGCCTGCACTCTGAAGGAGGGGTGTTAATGTTGCAGTTTAAAAACTGTAGTGTAAAGCACCCTTCTGGCAAGACAGTGATGGAGTGAATGATGGTGAAAGTTTTTCTTTTTCGGGCCACCCTGCCTTGGTGGGAATCGGCCAGTGTGATAATAATAAAAAAAAAAAAAATAAAGTTATAGATTATCATGCATAGCAGCATATGTTTGGAGAGAACCTAGGATAACCAAAAAAGTCAGACAGACTTATTTCCATTAGGGTCCCTGTACCTTAATGGATGCAATGTACTATATGGTACCATATGGTACAATTGTACCATATACCATTGTATGACATGGCACCATTGTACCATATGGTACAATGGTACCATATGCTTCAAAACCATAGAATTCCTCTTCAGATCCACTTCCATCAGTCTTAGAACTGTACGTTGTGAAGAGGAGAGTCAGAATTCACCAGGAGAGTGAGTGGGGAGTGAGAGCTTCCTTGCCGCCAGGCATGATGAACAAAGCACTTTGGCGGTGTTCCCACAATGCCATGCAGGTGTTCAGATTTTTTCTACAGTGCGCACACTGACCACCCAGACCCATTCTCTCAGATGTAGGCGTACCAGCCTTCTTGCGCTAAATTTGACGCCACTAGAGTTTTGGTGTAGGTCTACGGTTTGGACCCTGAAAGTGTTAAGAACGTCACAGAGAAACACTGTAGTAGATGTACTGGCTCATGCTAGGCAGGTCCTACTTACATTCAACCATTTTCACTCATGTATTTGCTAACCCTCATGTATCCGAATAAAACATTTTTAAAGCTATGCAAAGCGCAGTATATGGTGGAATGATGCTACCAGGAGTTCGTTTCGCTACCCTAAATAATTTGGTAATTTTTTTTTTCAAACATAAAAGGCTTTTAAATAACATGCTACTTACTTTAGCGTCCTGAGTGTGTTGTTTGAAACAAGAGCATTGATGAGAGCATCCAAGTGTCGATCTGATAACCCAACATTTGACATGCTGAGACTTTCTAATTTTGAGTTCATTTCCAAGGCATCAAAGAGACGTTTAAATTGTTCATCAGATATTGTCTGGAAATAAATATATTTCATAAATACACTATCCTTCCTTTATCTAGGCAAAACACTTAACTTTATACAAAATGCACAACAGTTTAATAGTACAGTGGACCCCTGGTTTACGATATGATTTCATTCCAGAAGTATGTTCAAGTGCCAGTACTGAATGAATTTGTTCCCATAAGGAATATTGTGAATTAGATTAGTCCATTTCAGACCCCCAAACATACACGTACAAACGCACTTACATAAATACACTTACATAATTGGTCGCATTGGGAGGTGATCATAAAGCGGGGGTCCACTGTATTTCTATATACTGCTGTACGCTTAGAATGCATGCAAACATGATATATTATAATTTATATCTAGAAAACTTTGGAGGGAATGATTCCAAATTTGCCAACTGATTTACTCATTAAAATGGGAGGCTTAGTAGATGATGCAAAGTACCCATAACAAAAAGCAGGGGTGCACTGTGTACATTAGATGCAATAATACCTTGCATAGTTTGGTTCTGAACCATAAGGATATAATATAAATTTTATTTAACTGCATTACGCACCTATATTGAATTTCTGGGATGTACAGGACCAGCACAATGCGAACATCAGTACTGCTCCAGACTCTGAGCAGTGAAGTTGTGTAGTCTTATACAGTACATACGTATACACAATTTTTTTCTTTATTATATAGAGTACCGGTACCCCCTTTTATATGCAAATGGTTAACATGAGACGAAAAACTAGAAATTATAAAACAAGAAGATGGTGAATCATATGCTAAACTAGCATGTGACAAGAAAATGAATGAAGCATCAGTATGTGTGCACGTAAGAAATAAAGATAAAATAAAAAGACATGGAATGGCTACAGCATCTTATATGTCAAAAGTGATTGTTAAAAATAGTATTTCTGATAATATGGAATGTCTTTTAATGTTATAGACTGAAGACTGCAGCCAGAAAAGAATTCCATTAAGTCAGATGACGATTCAAGCTAAAGCGACAAGTCTCTGTCCAATGTTAAAAAAAGAAAATGGCAATGAAGGGAAAAATTTTTAAAAACAGTATGGAACTCCATAATGTTTGAATTACTGATCAAAGTGTCAATGCAGACAATGAAGCAGATGCAAAATTTCCTAATGATCTAAAAAACTGACTTAAGAAAATGGCTACGAAGATGAGGAAATTTTTAATGTAGATGAAATGGGTTTGTTTTGGAAGTGCCTGGAGAATCAGAGGTAATCAGGTTTGATCCAAGGAAAGAGAGGGTAGCTCCAGTTCATTGGTTAAGTCCTTCATTGACATCTTGTAGAAAGTCAAAGTAGAACTTAAATATGCAATCTAACCTACTGTTATGAGCTCGAAAGACCTTTCTCTTACCCGAATGTTGTTAAAGTTAAGTTCTTTGCAGTTGGGGTCATCATCCTTTAGCTTCTTGATGCTCTCCTCTGGGTCAGTGTCATTGGGAGGTTCAGCTGGGAGGGCTTTAAATTTAGTTGCCTTTGTGATACCACCCCAACCAACACCAACTGGCTTGCCTTTGTTCAAAAGTGATGCATGGTACTGCTCCTGGTTCATCATAGAGTGGAAGCCCAGGATGGCTGTTGGAAAAATATATTTTTACCCCTCTGTTAACATCCCAACAACAATTTTAAGCCCACATGGTATTATTTCCAGAAAAAGGTATAAACCTTGTTTCTTTAAAGACATGGAAAAAATAGACAGGCGAGTATATAATTCAACTGAAACTAGCCACTTATTTCATTCTAGAAATACTGCTACTGGATAACTTAAAGTTCACCAAGGAAATGCTTTGATTTAGTTAACATTCAGTTGTTCCTTACACCATCCACATTACAGACTTAGCCTTACACTTTCACTTTTTCTTCTTATTTATTATGACCCTATAGTACTCTGCAACTATATACAATTGCCAGTTCCTATAGTATTACTCATGGGCAAATTATTACGTGTGACTGTGATGAGATTAAGCCAGATCAGGTCAGGTTAGGTTAGGTTAAGCTATACTTGGTCAGGTCATGTTAGCTTAGGTTAAATTAGTTAGGTTAAAATAATAGTTCCACAAAATCAAAATGCCACAAATGGTCACAGACAATGACTGTCATGAGTGGTGATTAACAGGGCCCATTAATCTCCTCTATGCCCACAAACCAAAATGAATGTATGTATATATTTTTTAACTTCAACAGTAGACTCTTGCCAAGGCAGGGTGACCTCAAAGAAAGAAACACATTTTTTTTTTTTTTTTTTTTTTATCACACCGGCCGATTCCCACCAAGGCAGGGTGGCCCGAAAAAGAAAAACTTTCACCATCATTCACTCCATCACTGTCTTGCCAGAAGGGTGCTTTACACTACAGTTTTTAAACTGCAACATTAACACCCCTCCTTCAGAGTGCAGGCACTGTACTTCCCATCTCCAGGACTCAAGTCCGGCCTGCCGGTTTCCCTGAATCCCTTCATAAATGTTACTTTGCTCACACTCCAACAGCACGTCAAGTATTAAAAACCATTTGTCTCCATTCACTCCTATCAAACACGCTCACGCATGCCTGCTGGAAGTCCAAGCCCCTCGCACACAAAACCTCCTTTACCCCCTCCCTCCAACCCTTCCTAGGCCGACCCCTACCCGCCTTCCTTCCACTACAGACTGATACACTCTTGAAGTCATTCTGTTTCGCTCCATTTTTCTCTACATGTCCGAACCACCTCAACAACCCTTCTCAGCCCTCTGGACAACAGTTTTGGTAATCCCGCACCTCCTCCTAACTTCCAAACTACGAATTCTCTGCATTATATTCACACCACACATTGCCCTCAGACATGACATCTCCACTGCCTCCAGCCTTCTCCTCGCTGCAACATTCATCACCCACGCTTCACACCCATATAAGAGCGTTGGTAAACTATACTCTCATACATTCCCCTCTTTGCCTCCAAGGACAAAGTTCTTTGTCTCCACAGACTCCTAAGTGCACCACTCACTCTTTTTCCCTCATCAATTCTATGATTCACCTCATCTTTCATAGACCCATCCGCTGACACGTCCACTCCCAAATATCTGAATACGTTCACCTCCTCCATACTCTTTTCCCTCCAATCTGATATTCAATCTTTCATCACCTAATCTTTTTGTTATCCTCATAACCTTACTCTTTCCTGTATTCACCTTTAATTTTCTTCTTTTGCACACCCTACCAAATTCATCCACCAATCTCTGCAACTTCTCTTCAGAATCTCCAAGAGCACAGTGTCATCAGCAAAGAGCAGCTGTGACAACTCCCACTTTGTGTGTGATTCTTTATCTTTTAACTCCACGCCTCTTGCCAAGACCCTCACATTTACTTCTCTTACAACCCCATCTATAAAAATATTAAAAAACCACGGTGACATCACACATCCTTGTCTAAGGCTACTTTTACTGGGAAAAAATTTCCCTCTTTCCTACATACTCTAACTTGAGCCTCACTATCCTCGTAAAAACTCTTCACTGCTTTCAGTAACCTACCTCCTACACCATACACTTGCAACATCTGCCACATTGCCCCCCCATCCACCCTGTCATACGCCTTTTCCAAATCCATAAATGCCCCAAAGACCTCTTTAGCCTTATCTAAATACTGTTCACTTATATGTTTCACTGTAAACACCTGGTCCACACACCCCCTACCTTTCCTAAAGCCTCCTTGTTCATCTGCTATCCTATTCTCCGTCTTACTCTTAATTCTTTCAATTATAACTCTACCATACACTTTACCAGGTACACTCAACAGACTTATCCCCTATAATTTTTGCACTCTCTTTTATCCCCTTTGCCTTTATACAAAGGAACTATGCATGCTCTCTGCCAATCCCTAGGTACCTTACCCTCTTCATACATTTATTAAATAATTGCACCAACCACTCCAAAACTATATCCCACCTGCTTTTAAACATTTCTATCTTTATCCCATCAATCCCGGCTGCCTTACCCCCTTTCATTTTACCTACTGCCTCACGAACTTCCCCCACACTCACAACTGGCTCTTCCTCACTCCTACAAGATGTTATTCCTCCTTGCCCTATACACGAAATCACAGCTTCCCTATCTTCATCAACATTTAACAATTCCTCAAAATATTCCTTCCATCTTCCCAATACTCTAACTCTCCATTTAATAACTCTCCTCTCCTATTTTTAACTGACAAATCCATTTGTTCTCTAGGCTTTCTTAACTTGTTAATCTCACTCCAAAACTTTTTCTTATTTTCAACAAAATTTGTTGATAATATCTCACCCACTCTCTCATTTGCTCTCTTTTTACATTGCTTCACCACTCTCTTAACTTCTCTCTTTTTCTCCATATACTCTTCCCTCCTTGCATCACTTCTACTTTGTAAAAACTTCTCATATGCTAACTTTTTCTCCCTTACTACTCTCTTTACATCATCATTCCACCAATCGCTCCTCCATTCACTCAATCACTGTCTTGCCAGAAGCACAGGCACTGCTCTTCCACCTCTAGGACTCAAGTCTGGTGAGCTGATTTCCTCGAATCCCTTCATAAATGTTAGCATGCTCACATTCATTAAAAATCACTTGTCTCCATTTGCTATCTCACACAAGCCCCTAAAACTAAAAGCCCCATTGACCTCCCCCCTCCCTGCAACCATTCCTAGCACAACCCCTACCCCTCTCCCTATCTTCCACCCCAGATTTACACACCCTCTTCATCATCCTATTTCTTTCCATGCCCAAACCACCTCAAAACTCCTCAGTTACAGTGGACCCCTCGTTAACAACATTAATCCATTCCAGAGAGCGTCTTTTACCGAATCTGTCTTACTCTGAATTAATTTTCCTCATACAAAATAATGGAAATCCAATTAACCCCTTGACTGTCGCAACCCCAAATCCTGAGGTGTCTCCTGGTATCACAAAATCCCCCCCCCCCAATTATTTTTTCTTATGAAATTATAGAGAATCTTTTCCTGATTGTGATGACACCAAAAGAACGAAATTTGATGGAAAACTGACGGAATTAAGCTCTCGTGTAGTTAGCGACCTTGGCGATATTTATGAAGCGGCGATTTTGCCCACTTTGAACCCTATTTTCGGCTAATTCCATTGTTCCAGTCGACCAAACTCATAGCTATTTCTTTAGAACTCCATTTTTTCTATCGATTGAGTACAAGAAACTGCCCATTTACTGATTTCGACTACCCAATAACGTGGTCAGAAATTTGCAATTTGGCCAATTTCACAAATATTAAAAAATATGACAATTTCAAAATAAGGTCCAGAATGAACAATGCAGACATTCCTGGCTCTAAAATAACACTTTCTTTGTTAATCAGTCACATCTCCAGGCCCCTCTGATATTACTCTTGCTTTGTATTTTGAATTTTTATTCATGCAAAAAATAGAAGATTTGCTGTTATGCAGACTACTGCAATATTGTAATAATTGTATAAATAATGTCAACCCATTCATGACTGCATATCAGAATGGCTACTTGGACATTTATTGGAAAATGACATCATTTGTTTACTTTTGAACATCGGCAAAAATAAAAAATTTCCCCTACTTTGAGCTCCATTTCCAGGTTCTTTTTATAGTAAAATCAATCAAAATCACCTCTATTTCTATAATATGTTTTCCATTCTATCAAATAAGACCAAGAAAACGAGAATACAACCATAAATACTATATGAAAATAGACCACAAAGTCGGCATTTTAATTAACCCTTTCAGGGTCCGTCCCGTAGATCTACAGCTTTACGTTCAGGGTCCAAACCGTAGATCTACGTCATGAGCTCAGCTCACTCTGATAAACTGTGAGTGGTACATTTGGGCCTAGATATGAGAGAATACATCTATGTGGTATGTGTGCACCACATAAAACAGATCCTGCAGCACACTGTGTATAATGAGAGAAAAAAACTGTAATCATGATTTTTCGATTAAAACAGCGACTTTGCAGTGTTTTTTCGTATGTTTTTTATAGTTGTATTTGCGATTTCTTGGTCTCATTTGATAGAAAAGACATATTACAGAAATAGAGATTATTTTGATTGGTTTTAGCACTGGAAATGGCTTGAAACTGCGCTCAAAGTAGCAGAAATGTTAATTTTTTACTGATATTCAAGAGTAAACAAACGACCTCACACGTCTAATATGCATTCACAAATATGTTGATGATATTTATACAATTATTACAGTATTGCATAACAGTAAATCTTCTATTTTTTGGTGTGAATAAAAATTATTATGTGAATAAAAAATCAAAATGGAATTTATTTGTAAAGCCTCAAAACGTAACTAATGAACAGAGGAAATGTTAGTTTAGTTCCAGGAATACCTACATTGTTTATTCTGGACCCTATTTTGAAATTGGAATATTTTGAAATTTGTGTTAAATTGGCCAAATAAACAATTTCCGATCGCTTTAATTTGTAGTTGAAACAGTTGACTTGGCGATTTCTTGTGCTCAATCGATAGAATAGAAGTAATACTAGTGAAATAGCTAAGAATTTGGTTGACTGGAATAATGTAATTGGCCTAAAATGGGAGTCAAAGTCGGCAAAATCGCCAATTCGTAA